TAAATCCTCACTTCTACGCTTGCCTACATCATTGCCTCCAGCAATGCCTAAGCGTACGTAATAAGGCAAATAGATTACTGGGATTTATATCAAGTGTAAGCAACAGAAGTCCAGCAGTTATATTACAGCGTTATACATCATTAGCAAGGCCTCACCTATATTATGCAGCTTAGTTCTGGTCTCCATTTTACAGAATGGATGTAAATTCGTTAGAAAACATTCAGCGACGAATGACAAAATTAATTCATTACATTAGAAATCTTCCGTATGAAAAAAGATTGAAAAAATATTCACTTGTAAGACGAAGGAGTAGAGGAGACATGATCGAAGTGTATAAGTGAAGATGGGTATTAATAAAGGGGATATAAACAAGGTCTTGACTCAGGATATCTGTCCTCGAGAGAACCCGCAATAATGGATTAAAATTAGACAAGTTCAGATTTAGAAAGGATGTAGGAAAGTATTGGTTTGGAAATAGGGTAGTTGATGAGTGGAACAGTCTGTCTAGTAGGGTTATTAAAGCTAAATCCTTGGGTAGTTTCAAATCTATGTTGGATAAATACATGAGCGAGAGGGGTTGGATTTGAGTGGGACTTGCACTTGAGTTAATAGAATTATCAAAGCTTATTGCTTGGGTAGAATTGAGAGGAACCTGGTCAGTGGCCGGCCAACATGGAACAAAGCTGAAAATCAAGAAGTCTGTTGGAGTGGCGGAAACAACGAAGATCCAGAAGACTGCTGTGGAGACTTCCAACCCATTTTCGGTGTTACCAGACGAATGTGGGTTGTCTACTGGGAACGTCACAACGAGCACCAAGGGAGCATTGGCAGACGTGAGTGAGACATCCCTTGATACCCCAATGAAGACCAAGAACGTCACAACAAATTCCACAAATGAAGGTAAGAACATTCTTTTAGTTGGAGACAGTCAGGTTAAGTTTATGGATAGGGCCTTTTGTCTTAGGGACAGGAAGAGGAGGCACAGGGTATGTTTTCCTGGGGCTGGGATGGGGGATATTGTTAGCCGTCTGGACGACATCATGAAAGGTAATGGGAGCAATCCTATTATCTGCCTCAGTGCGGGAGGCAACGATGTTGGCAGACGTAGGAGTGAGGACCTGATTAGCAGGTATAGGTCAGCAATAGAGATAATTAGGAAGAAGGGTGGGAACCCTGTCATATGTGGTATTTTGCCAAGGAGAGGAGTTGGAAACGAATGGTTGTCCAGGGCAATTGGTGTCAATTGCTGGCTGGGCAAATACTGTAAGGAGAATGCGGTAACATTCATTGACAACTTGGACCTCTTCTATGGCAGAAATGACATGTATGCCAGGGATGGAGTTCACTTATCTAGGTCTGGGGTGGGGGCACTGGCAACGGCAGTGGAGGGAGCTGTTAGGGCTTTAAACTAGGAATAGTTAGTGGTACGGGTTTTGGCGAGAATACAGTGAAGTCCCAGTGTAGTAATACGATGAGTTCTAGGGGAACTGGTAATAGGCAGAATGAGGTGGATATTGGAAAGCCAATGGCACTAGGCGACAAGGACAGTAATAGGTTTAGTGAAAGAATAGTTTTGAGCAGGAAGGGTAAAGAGAGAGAAGGTCTTTAAAATTATATTATGCTAATAGCCGTAGTGCTAGGAATAAAATGGATGAGTTGAGATTAGTCGCTAGTGCAGGTAACATTGATGCATTTGCAATCACTGAGACATGGTTTAATTCCAAAAGTCGGGACATGCCTTCGGAATGTCACATTCAGGGTTTTAAATTGTTCCAAGTAGATAGAAATATCGGTAAGGGAGGTGGGGTGGCACTGTACGTCCGAGATCACTTGAACTGTTGCATAACGGGCATAAAAAGTTGATTCTAGGAGTGATACACCGTCTCCCAAACTTAGATAGGGACCAAGGGAAATTACTGTGGGAGGAAATTGTTAAGGCCACAAGGCACGATAATGTAGTAATTCCAGGGGACTTTAACTTTAGTCACATTGATTGGAATTTCTTGACTGGGAATTTAGAATCAAATGACTTCTTAGAAGTAGTTCAGGAATGTTTTTTGAAGCAGTTTGTGACAGAACCTACAAGGGGAAATAACCTTCTTGATTTGGTTCTGGCGAACAAGGAAACCCTTGTTAATAATATAGAAATTAATGAGGAGCTCGGCACAAGCGATCACAAATCAATTACCTTTAGCATAGAATGGAAGTATGATAGTAGGGACAACTCAGTAACAGTTCCAGATTTTCGCTTAGCAGATTACAATGGGCTTAGAGAACACTTATCATCTGTTGACTGGGGTAACGAAGAGAGCTATCAATATGACTGCTTTCTGAACACCATACATGCTGCTCAAAGAACGTTTATCCCGTATAAAGAAATTAGATCAAATAGAAATGACCCAAAATGGATGAATAATAGGCTGAAATATCTACTATGGCATAAAGGAATTTACAGGCGTATCAAAAGAGGTGAGGGTCATCTTATGAATCAGTATATTGACATTAAGAGGGACGTTAAAAAGGGGATAAGAAAAGCTAAAAGGGACTATGAAATTAAAGTTTCTAGGGATTCGAAAACTAACCCAGAAAGTTTTTTCCAGGTCTATAGAACAAAGTTAGAGATAAGATAGGTCCCCTTAAAAATAACCATGGGCATCTTACTGACAAAGAGAATGAAATGTGCTCAATTTTAAATAATTATTTTCTCTCGGTTTTTGCACAGGAAGACACTAACAATATTCCAGTAATTAACATTTATGGTGGGCCTGAAGAAGATAAATTATGTAACATCACAGTCACTAGTGAAATGGTTATGAAACAAATAGACCGACTGAAGCAAAATAAGTCGCCGGGTCCTGATGAGCTTTTTTCAAGGGTTCTTAAGGAATGCAAAATGGAACTCTGTGAACCATTAACTAATATTTTTAATTTATCTCTTCAAACAGGTGGAAGATGGCTAATGTAATTCCTATTTTTAAAGCAGGGGACAAGTCGTTACCGTCAAATTACCGCCCAATAAGCCTGACCTCAATTGTAGGCAAATTACTAGAGTCAATTATAGCTGAAATTATAAGAAGCCATCTCGATAAGCATAGCTTGATTAATGATACTCTGCATGGATTCACGAGAGGCCGTTCTTGTGTAAGTAATTTATTAACTTTCTTCAGTAAAGCTTTTGAGGCTGTTGATCACGATAAAGATAAATAATTTGATATTATTTACTTAGATTTTAGTAAGGCTTTTGATAGAGTTCCGCACCAAAGATTGTTAAAGAAAGTGGCAGCTCATGGCATTGGGGGAAAAGGGCTCTCGTGGATCGAGTCATGGCTCACAGACAGGAAGCAGAGAGTGTCCATAAATGGGGTTAAATCCGAGTGGGGATCTGTAACAAGTGGCGTTCCACAGGGATCAGTCTTGGGCCCGTTGTTGTTTATATTATATATCAATGATCTTGATGAGGGAATTACTAGTGAAATGAGCAAATTCGCCGATGACACAAAGATAGGTAGGAAAATTGATTCAAACGTAGATATTAGGGAACTTCAGGAGGATTTAGACAAACTCAATACCTGGTCAGCAAAGTGGCAGATGCAGTTCAATGTAGATAAATGCAAGGTTCTGAAGCTCGGGAGTGTCCATAACCCTAGCACTTATAAGTTAAATAATGTAGAACTTAGCCATACGTATTGTGAAAAGGACTTGGGGGTTATGGTGAGCAGTAACCTTAAACCAAGACAGCAATGCCTAAGCGTACGTTACAAGGCAAATAGATTATTGGGATTTATATCAAGAAGTGTAAGCAACAGAAGTCCAGAGGTTATACTGCAGCTTTATACATCATTAGTAAGGCCTCACCTAGATTATGCAGCTCAGTTCTGGTCTCCATATTACAGAATGGACATAAATTCGTTAGAAAACATTCAGCGTAGAATGACTAAATTAATATATAGCATTAGAAATCTTCCTTATGAAGAAAGATTGAAGACTCTTAAATTACATTCACCTATTAGACGAAGAATGAGGGGAGACATGATCGAAGTGTATAAGTGGAAGATGGGTATTAATAAAGGGGATATTAATAAGGTCTTGAGGATATCTCTCCAAAAGAGAACCCGCAGTAATGGATTTAAATTAGACAAGTTTAGATTTAGAAAGAACATAGGAAAGTATTGGTTTGGGAATAGGGTAGTTGATGAGTGGAACAGTCTACCTAGTTGGGTTATTGAGGCTGGGACTTTGGGTAGTTTCAAATTTAGGTTGGATAAATATATGAGTGAGAAGGGTTGGATTTGAGTGGGACTTGCAGATGAGTGGATAGAGTTATCAGACCATATTTCTTGGGTACCATTGAAAATTAGGTTGAGCAAATGTTTTGTTAGTGGGATGGATTGTAAAGGACTTGCCGAGTATGGGCCAACAGGCCTGCAGTGATCCTCCTTTCTTATATTCTTATGTGGAAAAAGACACTTATGTTCAGTTCAGGACATTTATTAAAGGAAACGTTTCGCTACGAGTGGCGAAACGTTTCCTTTAATAAATGTCCTGAACTGTATATAAGTGTCTTTTTCCACATCTTGTCGGCATCACCATGCCATTTCCTCTTATGTTCTTATGTTAATTGGGTTGGGCAAATATTCTATTAATGGGATGGATTGCGAAAGACCTGTTTAGTATGGGCCAACAGGCCTGCTTCAGTGTTCCTCCTTTCTTATGTTCTTATCTCGAGCTTAGCTACTCTAAGCTCCTCCTTAAGCTGCTGGTAAAGTTGTTCAGTGGAGGACATCATGGCTCAGATTCACAAACAGTGTTGCCATAAATGAATATCAAAGGCAGACTGCAGAAATGGAAAACATTTTGGCCTAGGTTTAAAAATTCGTTCTTGAATTTGGAAAATATATCTTTAGCATGTACTGTTGGTATTTTGTAAAGTATGTTAATAGTATTACCTTGCTAGGTACGATGTGTTTAAATGATTTTATTCCTATAACTATTCTCTGCAGGAAGCCTGGTTCATCTGGGAGGTGCTCTTGGAAGCTGTGTGAGTGGACCACTACTAGTGAAGCTTGGCCGACGATTAACACTCCTAGTGACCCTGCCCATTACTTTAGCTTCCTGGCTCACCCTCGCTCTTTCGCCAACCGTCTGGCTGCTTTTAACTAGCCGCGCCATTCTAGGTATCACCATAGGCATCATGTTTACTGCTACATTTCTATATACCATCGAAATCGCTCATAAGAATATACGTGGAATTCTTTCTGGAATCCTTACCTTAACTAGGCAATTGGGCTTTATATTGGTGTCTGCTCTAGGAGTTTCTAAGCTCGACTGGCGACAAATGAGTTTCGTTTCTGGTGGAATGACAACATTTCCTTTGTTTTGCCTCTTGTTCCTGCCTAACTCTCCTCGTTGGCTCGTCACTCATGGTCGTCTTAGTGAAGCTCACAAATCTCTTGTTTTCTTCAGAGGAAAACATTGTAACTGCGAGCCAGAATTACTGGATATAACACAACAAATTAGCAATGTAAGTAGAGAAGTAGATAATTCATGGCAACAAGTACGGCTGTTATTTGAGCCATCAACAGGACGTGTATTCTTCTTATTGACCTTTTTAACAATTTTACACACTATGAATGGGTTTTTCGCCATATCGACATATTTGATGCCCATTTTCAAAGCAGTGGAGGCCAGTCTGGATCCATACACCAGCGCATAATATTTAACTTTGCTAAGGCGTTTGGAACTTTAGTTTATCTTTGTCTTGTTGACCGTCTGGGACGCAAACCATTGATCTTAGTTTCATATTCTTTGTGTTCACTGTGTATGGTTATTTATGGCATATACTTTTACATGCATAATACTCACGAGACAGGTGATGCTAGTAGCATGGGTTGGATACCTCATTGCAGGCAGCAATGATATTTAACTTCTTTACTGGGGTTGGCCAGCCTGCTTTATCAATATTTAATGGGGAACTTCTACCTACATCATGTCGAGCTATTGGAAATTCAGTGTTAATGTTTACATTGATGTTCGGAGCATTTATAACATCTTATACCTATCCTTTAGTCGTAGAGGCACTTGGCATACATGGGACTTTCTGGCTCTTCAGTTGTGTTAATGTAGCACTAACCTTAGTCAGTGCTGTCGGTCTTCCAGAGACTCGTGGACGCTCACTGGAAGAGATCACTGGAAACAACATGAACAATCAGGACCAAACGACAAAATTTTAAAAGTAACATCAGCGTTTCCATAGATCGTCACAATGTCTAACCATTAGTATCTTGGATGGTCATAATATCATATACCAGCTTGGAGCCATTCGCTATTAATCACAGATAAAGGAAAGTGACCTTTATATTACCATATTCTTAAAATAATTTGGACATAATATCCCATGTAATGTTACCAAGAGTATTCAGGAAATCAGAAAATGTTGAATTTAAGAATTAATTGATTTTATACCTTTATTTTTAAGACCTTGGTTGTGTCCCACCAACGAAGGTTGACCCAAAACACAAAGTGACGCATTCATCATTATCCAATATGCAAATGATGTCTTGCCAGAAGGGCGCAGACGTAACATTCAGGACAGCTAATGAATGAATGACGGTGAAGTTGCTTTCTTTTTTCCGGTTACTCTATTTTGGTAGGTAAAAAAAAATCGTTTATGCTTGTAAAATACTGCTTTATAGTATTTTTCATAGTATATAAATGAGTAAATAAATCTGATAAAATACTGAACAAACTATTGTTATTGGTCTTTACTTAAACAGGCAACAATGTTTCTTGCCAGAGCGAGGCAGGGGGGAGGGGGGGGGGGGATTTTCAGTATTCTTGCCGGTGAAATACGCTTATAAACTGCTAAACCCGCGTGGGTTATTCATCGTCAAGAGTGACAGAGGTTCGCTCCTCCATCCTTTAATTGCCAAAAGCAGCAACATCACGATAGTAATATTTTTGAAGTGTGATTTCTTAGGCTCTTGATCCGTGTAACCGGACCTGACCTCCCCTTCCTCACTCCCAAAACTAGATCTTTACCAAGATATGGCTTAATGAAGATCTAAGCAAGTCGTAACGTTCTACAACAAAAGTTTGTTCTGCAACGTGTGTCTTTACTTCATTGTTGTGAGCACTGAATGTCTCGAACTGTAACACTGAACAATGAAGGCTTTTTAAGTTATTTTAAGCAAGTTGAAACGGGATCTGAAGTCAGAATTAACCTATCATGTTGTGAGGTATTGACCACTCGAGTGGTTCTGTGTTATATGAAGAAGGCCTTGCGGGTGTCTGCTTAAAAGCATAAACATGAATCCTACTCATCATGGCTGCTTGTCAAGAAGAGTTGTCGGAGTTGTGCTCTGGCTATCCCAGTATTCTGACATATTTACAAATGGTTCCTATTTAATGGTGTAAAGTAGTGTTTATTTTGCTTAAATGACATTTTTCTGCCTTATGCACATTTCCAAATTTGCATCATTTTCTTTTCCTCTATTACATGAAATCTCTGTTTCGGATTAACATGAATAGGCGAGGATACCTGAATAGTGCAGACAACTTTTACTGTGTATACAGCAAGTATATACCATGTTATCAATGACAAAATAACAAATCGTGTCAAGATTGCATGCAGGATGGGTGATCAAGATAAAACATGGCCTCCACATATATGCTGTACTGTTTGTACATTAGGAATAACACAGTAGTTGAACAAGAAACGTACTAGACTGTTTCTTCTGCTTAGTAATGTATTTTGGCCTCTCGAGAAAAACATGAACAAGATAACATATCGAGATTGTGATTCAGCATTAAAACCTGTGCCACATAGTGAGGACACTCCTATACATGTTATAGCCGTTATTTATGGCACTGAACGATATAGCAGTGAAGAAACTGATAACACTGATCCTTATGAACCACTAGAATCTGAGAATTAGAAACAACCTCACTTAATCAGTCTACAGAAGTTAAATGACCTTGACAGGGGCCTTGACTTATCAAAATGGGAAGAACTGTTACTTAAATAATAATTAAACTTACTGACACAGTCAGACGCATTAAGTTACACAGGATATTCATAATTTCATATGTAGGTAATGAGAGGTAAATTTGACAAATACGTTTTCCCTCAAGTTAGGCCGGAAAAGTGGTAAGCGATGCTGGATTCTCTGGTTAAACTGATCAAATCACGCCACTACTGTGTGGTGACCAAGTGCCGGTAGAGTGAGAAGTGTGGTGACCAAGTGCCGGTAGAGTGAGAAGTGTGGTGACCAAGTGCCGGTAGAGTGAGAAGTGTGGTGACCAAGTGCCGGTAGAGTGAGAAGTGTGGTGACCAAGTGCCGGTAGAGTGAGAAGTGTGGTGACCAAGTGCCGGTAGAGTGAGAAGTGTGGTGACCAAGTGTCGGTAGAGTGAGAAGTGTGGTGACCAAGTGTCGGTAGAGTGAGAAGTGTGGTGACCAAGTGTCGGTAGAGTGAGAAGTGTGGTGACCAAGTGTCGGTAGAGTGAGAAGTGTGGTGACCAAGTGTCGGTAGAGTGAGAAGTGTGGTGACCAAGTGCCGGTAGAGTGAGAAGTGTGGTGACCAAGTGTCGTAGAGTGAGAAGTGTGGGTGACCAAGTGTCGGTAGAGTGAGAAGTGTGGTGACCAAGTGTCGGTAGAGTGAGAAGTGTGGTGACCAAGTGTCGGTAGAGTGAGAAGTGTCGGTAGAGTGAGAAGTGTCGGTAGAGTGAGAAGTGTCGGTAGAGTGAGAAGTGTCGGTAGAGTGAGAATTGTCGGAAGAGTGAGAAGTGTCGGTAGAGTGGGAAGTGTCGGTAGAGTGAGAAGTGTCGGTAGAGTGAGAAGTGTCGGTAGAGTGAGAAGTGTCGGTAGAGTGAGAAGTGTCGGAAGAGTGAGAAGTGTCGGTAGAGTGAGAAGTGTCGGTAGAGTGAGAAGTGTCGGTAGAGTGAGAAGTGTCGGTAGAGTGAGAAGTGTCGGAAGAGTGAGAAGTGTCGGTAGAGTGAGAAGTGTCGGTAGAGTGAGAAGTGCCGGTAGAGTGAGAAGTGTCGGTAGAGTGAGAAGTGTCGGTAGAGTGAGAAGTGTCGGTAGAGTGAGAAGTGTCGGTAGAGTGAGAAGGTCAACGTAGGAATGATGGTCAATAAAACTAAGTTATTCCCAAGTGTAATAATTGACAGTAAAGTTTTCACTTTTGCTTCGAGAAAAATATATAATTTTTACACTTCGAACACTATTAATCAGGTATCAAGCACAGGACACTGGCAATTTTATATCTTCAAATACCCAGCTTATAGAGATGGATGCTTATTATCATAATCACTGGGAAGCGAAAAACCCCTAGTGTCACAGTCTGGGGAGTGGCATATAATCAAAATTGTTAAAAAAAGGAAGGGACTCAGTTCCTTGAAGCAGGAGATCGCCACGGTCGATATTTTTATTATTATTATTATATTATTATTTTTATTATTTTTAATTTAGGGAAAATGCTGAAACTGTAGGGGTATGGGGGTTTGCTGCAAAAAGGGACAATTAGGTTTGATCCACTAAAAAGGGGAAAGGTCCTCCGCATCGAGGACTCCCTTAAGAGGTCCCCACCTAGAAATGCTGGGGAAAAAGCACAAATTACATTTCAGGACATTTTTAAAAAGGAAACTTTTCGCCACGGTGGCTTCTTCAGTCCAAAACAGAGAAAACTAGATAACATTAATATATATGTGGCAGGATTCGGGTGAGGGACGCGGGGGTAAGGGGGGTGAAGTAGTAGTAGTATAGGTATAGTAGTAGTAGTAGTAGTAGTAGTAGTTTAGTAGTAGTAGCATTTGTTAGGTAAGACCGTATGAAAACATTAGGTATTTTTATTGTAAAAACGTTTCGCCTACACAGTGGGCTTCTTCATCAAGTACGAAAATTTGATAAAAGAAAGAACTTGAAGACGGAAATCTCCATCCCCCTTAAATTTTGAGGTGGTCAGCCCCTCATTGGAAAAGAGCATTTTTCCATGAAATAAAACAATATGGAGAAGAAGTGACAGGATGGACTTTTATAGCGCCAAAGGTGAGACGTAGGAGAGGTAAGAATCAGAGTTGAGAGGTCCCTCTAAAATCCCCCCTCCATGTGGAAGTTGTCGAAGTTGATTGCGGGTCGTACCAAGATCCCCTTTGGTTGCAGTGTCTGAAGATTAACATTAAAAGGGTTTTTAAAAATACCGACAGGTGTTTGGAAAGACACGTATGCAACAGTTAGGTATCTTTATTGTGAAAACGTTTCGCCTAACAGTGGGCTTCTTCAGTAAAGTACGGGGAAAAAAGTTGATAAAAGCAGAAATACTTGAAGACGAAAATCATCCATCACCCTTAAAGTTTTGAGGTGGTCACCCCTCAGTCTGGAGAAGAGCTTGTTCCATATAAAAACAATTGGAAAAGAAGTGACAGGATGGAGTTTTATAGCGCCAAGAGGGAGACTAGGAGGGGTAAGAACTCAGATGTTGAGGGGGCCCCTCTAAAATCCGCCCCTCCCTGTGGAAGTTGTCAAAGTTGATTGCGGTCTGTACCAAATCCCCTTGTGTTGCAGTGTTGAAGATTGAACTTTAAAAAAGGGTATAAAATACCGAAGTTGTTAGGTAAGACACTATGAAACAGTTAGGGTATTTTTATTGTGAAACGTTTCCCCTAAAACGTAGGTTTTTCAGTCAAGACGAAAAGTTATAGAAGCAGAGTACTTGAAGACATGAAATCAGTCCATCACCCTTAAAGTTTGAGGGGGTCAGTCCCTCAGTTGGAGAAGAGCATTGTTCCATAGATAAAACAATATGGGAAAAATTTACAGGAGGGAGTTTTTATGCGCCAAGAGGGGGAACGTGGGAGAGGTAAGAATCAGAGGGATGATTACATCGTCT